GGTTTATGGTGAAGTAAGTCTCCCAAAGTATTATGCACTTTTCCCTTATCAACCATGCGATAAGTAGGTGCCGATAAATATAGCCGACAAGGTGAAATACCCTAAACCAATAACGAACACGATTAATGTGTATATATGTCAATTCAGAAAATTATGCTAAATTAATTCAATGTAATATATATATATATATATATATATATATATATATATATATATATATATATATATATATATATATATATATATATATATATATATATATATATATATATATATATATATATATATATATATATATATATATATATATAGTTATCTCGGGAAGTTTCTGCTGAAAATTACAATTGATACTATCTTTGTCACTAGTATCCTTAAACTCATGACCGTGCCTTTCTGACATGTATCTCTCTTTGTCCTTTTGCAATTCACGAACTTGAGCTCTCAATTCTTCCAACGACTCCATGACTTCTTTATTGGTCGAATTTTTTTTCTTTGGATTCTTATACAATTTTGTTGGAGTCACACCAAACCCCTTACCCCTCACACGACCAGTATACTCAGGAACATTTAATACTCGACTGAGTAGGCTCCTGCAATCATGGTCTTCAGATGCAATTATAGTCTGGGATAGACTCTCCTGAAATGCAGAAAAATATCAATGTGAATTAAAAAGCATAAATATATTATATGTTACTACACTTTTGAGTTTATGACAGAACTAATGTTATACTTACACATTGCTCAAAAACTTGTTGAACATCTTCCTGAACAACCCCATCTCTACCCACACGAGCAGCCTTCCACAAAACATGTTATGGAACAGATGTTGCATCACTTTTCTCCTCTTCTAACTGCAAATTAAGACAGATAACAAGTTTCACTTTTCTCGTATTTTAATTTCATCCTAATAAAGCATTTATATATACTTACTATTTTATGTTGTAAGTGTGCATATCCCAAACGCCCTTTTTTGTATGGATACGTGGGTTTTGATGCTCGTTGCTGATTTATGTCACTCACAACCTGAAAAAACAAGTTTAAGCCATATCAGAACTCATGTGAAATAAGTATATATATTATACATTGTTCATGAGAAGATAAAATTACATGGAATTCTTTGGTTCTTCTCTTGGCAACAAAAGTCTCCCATTCTTCAAGTGAAATCAAATCTGCATACTTCTTTGGTCGCTCTGACTCAACAAAGTTTCCATCAGAATCCTTAAGAAACTTGTTTGTTAAAAATGCTCGAAATCCTCTAAGTCTTTTTCTGGCTAATTGAAGACAATATTTTTTCCGGTTGTCATCAATATTAAAAGACCCCTGCAAATTAAACAAATTAACATACATATAGTGTGTTAGTATAAATAATTTAAAGACATAACCGTCAACAAAAATAAATAATGTCAGATATGATACCTGTATCTCACTCCATATTTTTTCTTTAGCGGGTTTCAACGATGGAATTCTCCAATTATCACAAGTGATTGGAATTTGCGAGCGAACAAGTGCACCAATATAACTTGTTAACATCGCACCGTTAGGTTCAATTAATTGGTATGTTTCATTCCAATGCAGATCATATTTTATACCTTTATCTCTCGCACAAATGATTCCCCTCATAATCATTATTCCTCTTGAAATATCTCCTTCCACATCATGTACTGTCCGTTTCCACCCTCTAAAGGAGTATCATGTGAGTTTTCCTCGTTGTTAGCCATAATACCCGTAATTCAAAAAAACACACTTATTAAATGAATGACAAGTACATATGAAATGAAAAACATAAATAACAAAAACATGCGTCATAGTTATCTACTCCTACACTATCTTTGTTGAGATCACTGAGATGACGTCTCAACTTCACCTTCCAATAAAAGATACTCCTCGAGCTCGTTGAAGAAAAAATTTCAAATTTAAGTCGATGCTTGTGAAATGGAAGTTTTATTGATGTATTTTAGATTGATTTGTTAATGGAGGGGTAGTATAATTTTTTTATTAAGGTGGATTTTGGGTGAATGGTCGTGTTGGATAAAACAAAAATTGTTGGTGTGTTGTTTGAAAGTTGTAGTTTGATTGATGTGTAGGTTGTATGTATGATTATGAATTAAAGGGGTTGATGTATGGTTTTTGTTGTTGAAAGTAAGGGTTAAATTGTTGTTGTGTGTTAATCATGTTTTTATAGTGTATGTTAATAAGCGATTGAGGTATGTTGGTATAAGTATATTGTGTTGGGATATGTGTTAGGGGATGATTGAGTATGTTGGAAGTTTGAAAAAGATGTTCATTCATGTGAGTTAACTAGTAACCTATTTTTGAAGAGATCTAAAGTTAAAATCAATCTATACCATGCCATGTGCTCACTAATTTGTGTACATTTTATTAACATGATATAGTTTTTTTAGAGGAAACATATTTCATTAGACTAAAGAAACATTACACAAAGTAGAGCTTTCCGTAGGTGGAATACATCCAACCCAAGTTCTTGAACCTACAAGATTGCCCATCCTAACTAGATGATGAACATCCCCAATATGTTTCTTATTCAGATACATGATGTAAGCCTCCTAAAAACTACTCAATAACAATAATATCTAAAGGCACTGAGAATAACATGCAACAACATCATTTGTTTCCATTAACAATATCAACAACAACATTAACATCAACACTAACAACAACAACTTTAACATCATTTGTTTCTATCAACAACATTTTAAAAAAAATTTCAAATACCTTAAAAATGGTGGAAATGGCTGACAGAGGAGGTGGAGGACGAAGACGGACGGACGGAGGCGGAAATGTAGAACACGACGGACAACTATTGAGGACGGCGACGGTTTGCGACGGTCGGATGAACACAAAGGACAGAAGTGGTCTGCGGAGGGAGTAGGGCACTATCGCGAGTAGGAGCGAAGCTTTAAGAAAAGATTGTTCTGTTCTAAAAAATTCTGAGTTTTTTTAAATTTATGCTACTTAAACATAAGGCAACGCTTCTGCATGGCCTTTAGCAGCGCTTTATAAAAGTGTTCTCTAAGGTTTGCCATAGGCAGGCCCTATAGCAGCGCTTTTATAAAAGCGCTTTCTTTTGTACACCCTTTAGCAGCACTTTTCTGAAAGCGTTTTCTTATGTACCCCCTTTACTGCCACCTTTAGCAGCGCTTTTAGAAAGCGCTTTCGTAGGTTACCCCTTTAGCAGCGATTTCTAAAAGCGCTCTCGTAGGTACCCCATTTAGCAATGCTTTTAGAAAGCGCTTTCGTAGGTACCCCATTTAACAACGCTTTTTATAAAGCACTTTCTATTGTTAGCCATAATTTCCACCTTTAGCAGCGCTTTTCTAAAAGCATTGTCTAAAGTCAGCTCTTTTTTTTTCTTTTTTTTCCTGACTCTTTAGCAGCGCTTTTACAGAAAGCGTTGTCTTTTCTGCACTGCCAAAAAATTTTTTTGTAGTAGTGACTTTTAATAAAAAATGTTGCCTAAAGTGCACATAAGCCAACATTTTTAACTGAAAGTACAACCTAATGTGCACTTAAGCCAGCGCTTTTAACAAAAAGTGTTGCCTTAAGTGCACTTAAGCCAACTTACTTACATTAAAAATAAGCGCGTCATATACCTATAGCAGCACTAGAATAAAAAATGTTTAAAATCGCAGCTTAAGATCAAAAAAAGGGCCGCCTAAGATCTTATTTGGCATAGTGTTGGCACTATGGAAAAAAAGAGTTTAAACAACACCCTTTTTACCAGTTGTTTTTTATAGAAAAACGTTGCTATAAAACAAAAGAGAACATTAGACAAAGCTTTTTATATAAAGTGTTGGCATAAGGTATCCATATTGGGAGCGCTTTAGAGTATAAGTGTTGTTGTATATTAAACAAAAAATTATATATTAGACAAAGCTTTTACTTTAGATAGTGTTCAAATGAAAAAATTTGGTCTTAAGTTATACATTAGGTAGAAATTCTTATTAAATAAAAGCGCTTGCTTAAGGATTACATTAAACAGCGTTTGAAAATAATAGAAAGCGATGCCTTATTTTATTTAGGTCTATATAAAGAGAGAAAGAGGTTTAGATCAACTTTAACGCAGGTTTGTTAAACCAAGATTCTTTATAGCTTACGTTAGTAATAAGGAATTTGCATTATAGTAGAGCTGACATGACATCCAAATGAACTAAAATTTAGTTCCCGTTATCTATATAGTTAACGTTAACTATTGATGTGAAACCTATTATAATATTATTTAATATTAATAAAATATTCCAAATATTCCAAATATTCCAACAGCATTAAAGTAATGGTATGATATTTGAAAATAGTAACGGTCATATTACCATTTTTTATCTTTTATAAATTCTATAGAAACTTTAATTTTTTTTACACACAGTTTTATTTCTAAATTTTTTTTCTTTCAATTTCCAATCTTATTTATTTATCAAATGGATCACAACCAATCGAATCCTTATTATAATTATTTACAAACTCCCACCGGTGACAGTTCTCAAAATTTTCAACCTTTTATGTTTCAATCACCACCATTCTCTACCAGCAACAATTCTCAATATACCCGACCATTTATGTTTCAACCACCACCAACCGAGTCTCCTAACATTGAATCAGAATCACCAATTAGGTCCACTACAGATTCTCAAGTGCCAGGCAATTCCACTCAGGATGGTCTAGAAAATATTACTTTTACGGAAGAAGGAGAACGTTCAACCCAAAAAAAACAGCGTCTCAGGTTCATAGAAGAAGAAGATAAATTGCTTATTCAGACATGGCTTAACATTTCCAAAGATTCAATAGTCGGAGTTGACTAAAAAGCAGATAGTTTTTGGGGTAGAATCAAAGATGGCTATAACAACTATCGTGGATCACTTATAACGAGAGAGTGGTCTACACTCAAATCTCGATGACATCTATTGAATAAACATTGTCAATGGTTTTGCGGAAACTACAAACTAGCTGTTGCTAACAAGAAAAGTGGACAGTCTGAGACAGATGTCATGGAAGAGGCACGTAAATTTTTTTTCCAAGTGCATCATCAACGTTTCACAATAGAGCACGCGTGGAGGTTGTTGAAGGATGAATCTAAATGGAAGGGGCAAGAAATGGACAACTCTTCAAAGAGATCAAAGATATCCTCTATCAGGACATATTCATCGTCATCTAATCCAGAAAATCCCATAGATTGTTCAGAATACAACAATGCAACTCAGACCGACCGCCCAGCAGGACAAAAGGCGGAAAAAAGGAAGGGCAAGGGAAAAACATCTCCATCTATAACACCCATAGTGGATTTGACTGACATAGAAAGGGCCTCAGAAAAGAAATTAGCTATCTATGGTAAAATAGCTGAAGCAAAGTTGGCAGAGAGCATACCCGTGTTGTATGAAATTCTCATGAAGGACAAATCAACAATGAATGATGAGCAACGTCGAGAGCATGAAGAAATTTGTCAAAGTATCAAGGAGAAGTACTTCAAGAGAAGCTAGGTGTATTATTATTATTATTATTATTATTATTATTATTATTGTTTAGGTTTGAATATGCATTTCATATTATTGTAATTTTGTTTTAAATGATTGTTATTTTAATTTTGTATCTATGTTTCAAATTAGCTATGCAAAACTAGCCGTTATAAAAAAATTAGCCGTTATAAAAAAATTAGCCGTTGTAAAACTAGCCGTTATAAAAAACTAGCCGTTGTAAACTAGCTGTTATAAAACTAGCCGCTGTAAACTAGCCGTTATAAAACTAGCCGTTGTAAACTAGCCGTTATAAAAAAACTAGCATATATATACCTCACATGTTTTCCCATTATATTATTTTCATCATATCTTCCATGGATCCAAATGCTGAATGGGATAAAATCTGGAATGAAGTCGTAGATGATTGCCTTAACGACAACACTGAGGAAGATGTGATAAGGTTGGTACGAGAGGCGCAACAACAAGCCAACAATACAAGTAAGCATAGAAAAAGAAGAACGGTGATAGATCGAAGTCGTGAAGAAGGGCATCATAGATTGTTCAATGACTACTTCTCTGAAAATCCTGTATACACGGAGGCTCAATTCAGACGAAGGTTCCGTATGCGAAGACATGTGTTCCTTCGAATTGTTGAAGCTCTTGGAAATCATGATGAGTACTTCCAAAGAAGGATTGATGCAGTGGGTAGAATGGGTCTTTCACCATTGCAGAAGTGCACAGCTGCTCTTCGTATTCTAGCATATGGATCACCAGCTGACAGTGTGGATGACTATGTTCGAATTGGAGAAAGCACGGCATTGGAGTGCTTAGACAAGTTTGTAATAGGTGTGTGCACAATATTTGGTGCTCAATACATGAGAAGGCCAAACAATGAAGACATTGCACGCCTACTACAAATTAACACGGCACACGGCTTTCTAGGTATGTTGGGCTCAATTGATTGTATGCATTGGGAATGGAAAAATTGTCCTGTCGCATGGAAAGGTCAATTTTCTAGAGGTGATCATGGTAAACCCACAATCATGCTTGAAGCTGTGGCATCTCAAGACTTGTGGATTTGGCATGCATATTTTGGAACTGCGGGTTCTAACAACGACATTAATGTGTTAAACACGTCTGATGTGTTTAATGATGTTTTGAATGGAAAAGCTCCTGCATTACAATACTCGGTGAATCGAACAGCATATCATATGGGGTACTACCTAGCGGATGGCATTTATCCTGAGTGGGCAACATTTGTCAAGACCATCCCTATGCCGCAAGGAGAAAAGAGAAAGTTATTTGCCCAACGACAAGAATCAGCACGGAAGGATGTTGAATGTAACACCCCACTTCCCAAAACAATTAAAATAATAAACATTATAAATAAACATCAGAGTTTCAACTCCCCAAGTGGGATATCACATTATGAAAATCCAACCATACACTTCCTTGGAAGCTTTTTCATCAAAATGCAGCGGAAAATATTCATTAATAAAATATATCAAGTTATGATACGTTCACAGGAAAACTAAAACAAGTGCAACAGAAATTAACAAAACACCCAAGTCTCGTGCTACGTATCAGAACGTCCTAGACTCGACTGGCACAACATAATCCAAGCTAGCTAAACACCTGGATTGTCTGTACTTCCGAAGAAGCACAGACCACAACAACAACAAAAGGGTGAGAATCACAGTCAATTAATAATGGTATAATAGTACATGAAATAAAAGGCAGAATCTATATAAAGTATGCATATCATCTGGACTCACTGTCCCACCATCAATCACGACATATCATCACGCAACACATGCGCGCACACACACCCCAAGAACGTACGATATCGACTCATTCGTCCGTCAGATTCTCCTAGGAACTCACTCCTTTCGCACTTATACAGTTACACTACAACTCATCAGACTTTCCTACGAATCTATCACTTATCAGATTCTCCGAGGAATCAAATATAACCGGAATCAAATATAATCATCGCATCAAGCGAGGTTCTGCAGATCCTACACGGGATCAAATATAACCATCGCATCAAGCGAGGTTCTGCAGATCCTACACGGGATCAAATATAACCATCGGATCAAGCGAGGTTCTGCAGATCCTACACGGGATCAAATATAACCATCGCATCAAGCGAGGTTCTGCAGATCCTTCACGGGATCAAATATAACCATCGCATCAAGCGAGGTTCTGCAGATCCTACACGGGATCAAATATAACCATCGCATCAAGCGAGGTTCTGCAGATCCTACACGGGATCAAATATAACCATCGCATCAAGTGAGGTTCTGCAGATCCTACACGGGATCAAATATAACGATCGCATCAAGCGAGGTTCTGCAGATCCTACACAGGATCAAATATAACCATCGCATCAAGCGAGGTTCTGCAGATCCTACACGGGATCAAATATAACCATCGCATCAAGCGAGGTTCTGCAGATCCTACACGGGATCAAATATAACCATCGCATCAAGCGAGGTTCTGCAGATCCTACACGGGATCAAATATAACCATCGCATCAAGCGAGGTTCTGCAGATCCTACACGGGATCAAATATAACCATCACATCAAGCGAGGTTCTGCAGATCCTACACGGGATCAAATATAACCATCGCATCAAGCGAGGTTCTGCAGATCCTACACGGGATCAAATATAAATGTACATCAAGATGCCTTTAATGCAAAATGACTCACAACCTTCCTCTACATGCATATATAACACTATAGTAATAACGTCTAGCCATCCTACCCTAATGAACCCGCCACTAGGAATGACATTACATCATTCTACCCTAGTGCACCCATCAATCACACTTCATTAGGGATAACCCAAATGCACTACAATATTATTTATGCCTGATTAGGAACGATATTACATCATCCTACCCTAATGAGCTCATAACTAGGAATAATATCACATCATTCTACCCCAGTGTAATCCACTCCGACACCACTCTCACTACTCAATGCACACATAATCCTATTATCTTCTCATGCATTCATATTATCGTACCGACGACAACGAACTCAATCATCTCATCATGCAATTGTAGTTAATTAAACAATGCATACATAATCGCCATACGGACACAATCCACAATTCATTGCACAATCTAGGATTCACGCCATTCGGCTACCCACAGCACCTCACGAACCAGCATACAAGCTATTAAATCAGAGAAGGGTCGATTGCGACCGGAACCCCAAGCCACAACAACACTCAACAGCAGGGAAAACTCATCCTGCTACGTTCGCTACACGATCGCCTAGCGAGCGTTCGCTACCTCCTCACCTAGCGAACTGTTAGCGAGCACAAATAGAACCTCCAGACATTGCTCGCTACCTCGTTCGCCACGGCGAACCCCCAGCGAGCTCTTCGCTACTCCCTTCGCTGTCAGCGAAGGGCACCAAAACCTTACTGTCCCAAGTCTGGGACCATTCGCTACACGCTCGCCTAGCGAGCTGCTAGCGAGCGTTCGCTGTGCCCTCGCCTAGCGAGTTGCTAGCGAGTCGCCTGCGAACAACAACATTCAGTTCTGTCCCGGCACTCCCAAACTCACCGAATCCAACCGATTAATTCCGACTTGTTCTAATAACCTTAGCCTAACATTCCTCGACTAAACTTAACCACCCATTCTCATTTTCAACCGTTAAAACTCGGTTTCTACCGATTAAACCAACTTCCGCCCTAAAATGGAAGTTGTAGAAAATCTACCAATCGATCCGAAATAATCCAACAAAATCATACATGATTATACACATGGATAGAATAATAAAGTTTCACACCTTTACCTTGATTAATTGGAGCTAGAAGCGGATCTTGAGCTTTCCAAGATTTTTCCTCTTCTCCTCCTCTTTTCTCCTCTTCCTCTTTCTTTCTCTTCTATTTCTCTCTTCTTTTCTTTCCTTACCCCCTTTTCTTTTCTCTTCCACTTTCCTTATATATTTCTTTCCATTGAATTTCCTCTCTCAAATCATCTATCAATCCATTTAAACAATCATCAAATAATTAGAATAATCCCAATAAATCAATTATTTAACACAAATAATTAGTCATTGAAAATTGGGTCGTTACATTGAACGGGCATTTGGAGTGCTCCAAGCCCGATTCGCTATTGTACGTGGTCCAACGCGTGCTTGGCATGTGAATACAATGAAACACATAATGTTAGCATGTATCATATTGCATAACATGATTGTCGAAGATGAGCGAGACACATATGCTGGTAATTTTGATTACGATCATGTTGATAATAATTTCTCCACAACTGAAGTATCTACTGGTCCAATTCCCAACTTGACAGCAATGTTTGAAAGGATAGCGCATGTTCATCAAAGGCAAAATCATCGCCAACTTCAAGCAGACTTGGTGAAACATATTTGGGAGAGATTTGGTCATGAGAACAACGAAAGTTAGTTTGTCTTATTTTATATTTCTGTTAAAATATAATTTGTTGCTTATTGTCATGTATTATTTTATATTCCTATGAAAATGTAATTTTTTTTATATATTATTGTTGTGAATTTTGTATCATTTTTAATTTTATAATACAATATATTTAATATTATTTTTAAGTTTTTAATGTTATTTTAGGTAAATTTTATTTAAAAAATTATATGCATTTTAATTAAAATAATTAAATTAATAGTAACTTAAATAAAAAATATAAAATGTGGGGTCAAGTTTTAGTTTCTTATAGACAACCACCATTAAAGTAAAAATTACTCAAATCAACTATAAAATTTTCAAATCCTACAAATCACTTTGGACCCACAAAAAGTATCTTAGTTTACCCATTTAGTTTACTCCCACTAAAGATGCTCTTAAACATCACTTTAAAAAAATGCATTGTCTAATGGTACATATATAATCTCTAAAAATTTAGCTAATTATAATTTTCAAAATAACAACACTTGAAGGAATCACATAACGACGACTAACTAAACCAACTTGGCCCTTTCTACCTTGATAATGTATATTCCATACACAATATATATATATATAT